GGTCAATTTTTTTTTATTGGAGTTAAAATTAACGTAGATATATGACCGAACCTAACCAACCTAACCTAACCTATCTTTATAGGTTAGGTTGCCGAAAAAGTTAAGTTAGGTTAGGTAGTCGAAAAAAAACATTAATGCATGAAAACTTGGCTTATTAGGCAAATCGGGCCTTGCATATTAGGCTGAAAAGTGCGTTCTGGCTACTAGGTACGACATTAAATATATATAGAATATATAAATATATATATATATATATATATATATATATATATATATATATATATATATAAGAGAGAGAGAGAGAGAGAGAGAGACACTGCGACCATGAAATGGTCGTCACTTGTCCGATGGTTCTTCCCACTTATAGATCATCCACTTTTCCGTAATTAGGACCACTATTCGGAAACTGTGTGTTACCTCAACGCCTCTATCAATGACGGAGCCTTCCACGACCTCAGAGACGTCTACCATGCCGCTAGGTCCTCACGTCCGTTTCCTTTGGTGAGGGTGGAGCATACTGGAACAGTTGGGTCAGTTGGTCAAACATCCGAAAGTGACGACAGCATGTTGACTGAATGGAGGGGAGTAGAGGTCTGTTTCTCCACCTGCTCCGGCCAGCACTCGTTACCTCGCCCGGTGGTTCTGATTGGCTAACAGAAATTCCCGCCACCGAACGAGCCATACCGTGCTGACCGTTAACGACCTCCATGGTTGTTACCCTTGTTCTTCCTGTAATAATGACCGTATTACTATTAAATAATCGTGCCTTTATGCGACTAAATAACACGATACGATATTTCGTAACACCGTACACCTCCCCCCCCCCCACTTGGGCTGGACGGTAGAGCAACGGTCTCGCTTCATGCAGGTCGGCGTTCAATCCCCGACCGTCCACAAGTGGTTGGGCACCATTCCTTCCCCACCGTCCCATCCCAAATCCTTATCCTGACCCCTTCCCAGTGCTATATAGTCGTAATGGCTTGGCGCTTTCCCTTGATAATTCCTTCCTTCCCCCCCCCCTCCCCACATACACACTTTGTCGACAAGGTGTGTGTATTGGAGGACACTAAGTGTGTATATGTGTTATCAGCTTATCTTTTTATCGCTGTTAGTCTTATCTCTCTTACAGTACTGGGTGTGGGATGCCTCGCTTCTCTCTCTCTCTCTCTCTCTCTCTCTCTCTCTCTCTCTCTCTCTCTCTCTCTCTCTCTCTCTCTCTCTCTCTCTCTCTCTCTTTCTCTCTCTCTCTCTCTCTCTACCTGCCTTCTCTGTCAATAGTATTCTTCATTTACCTTAGGTATTCACTGTGTTTTGTTAAATATATTCATTGTAGTTTAATATATTCAGTGTAATTTGTTAAATACGCTCAATTCCTTTTGCTAAATACAATCAATGCATTTTGTTATATGCAGTATATTTTCAAAATACATTTAATGTATTTTGCAAAATGTGTTTAATACATTTTGCTAAATATATTCAGTTTATTTTACTGGCCATAATCTTCATATTATGACGCTAAGTGGTTGAAATAAACTATCCAGTTTACGGGATCACCATAGTCCGTGCTACATGGACAGCTTGATAAATATCGAGCTTGGGGGGCTACTCACCCCCCCCCTTCCTCCCAAGATGACATTGTTCACCCCTGGGTGAACAATGACTTGTTCATCTGTTCACCCCAGATGAACAAGTCCACAAGGGCCGTGATGAGGGTTCGAACCTACGGAGTAGAGTTCCCAATATGAACACTCGAAAAATGTGCAGCCTCTAAATCTCTGCGTAATCGATGATATGAAAACACGATCATTGTCATGTATTAATAACAATGTCACTTTATGTCCTATGTCACTTCTCACTTTGTTTCTGAGTCTGCCTAAAATTCTATATAATGCCCTTCCTACAAGTGGAAATTGGGAGGGAAAAAATTTAACTACGTTATAAACCGACACTGTAGATTGTAGATCCCGCTGATCGTAGACACGCCGAGTAGCTCCTTACTGGTCTACGAGACACTGAATGAGGCAATCTTGAGGCCTATTCTTCTCTAAAGGTTCACTCCAGGTAGCGAGTTAGTACAAATCTCCCGCCAGAACCAACGGGGCGCCTGACGTCATGATACGTCACGCCAGGGGCACTTTGCCATTGGTCCACCTGGCCAAGCCCTCCGCAACCGACCAATCACGCATCACCTGACGCTGTACCCAGCATGCACTGGGGGGTCTCTTGGAGCGGGAAAGCTGTCCTTGATATTAATAGAAGAGTCGCGTCTAGCCTCATCCCAAAGTAAAATTTCTTCTGGGTATTTACAGAAAGGGAAGTATGACTCCTATAGGTGGAAACAGGAGAATACTGGCTGAACCCCATAATACCAACCACCTATGTATATTTTCCCGTGTATATCGTATGAATGCTTGTCACTTGTGAATTGACACCTGTTTTTTCTCTTACAGGTATGTGTCTCATGGAACCTTAGCAGAGACCAACGGTAGGAATCAGGTTAACGGAAACCAACGGTAGGAACCGCGTTAGCAGCAAGTGTGAAGAACTGGTATTGTGGGAGAGCGGGAAAAAGCTGCGCAGTGCGCGGGTTAAGGTGCGCAGGTGTTTTACAAGGGCACAGGTGCTGCACAGGGGTTGCACAGGGGCACAGGTGTTGCACAGTGCCGGCGGGGTTCTCTACTCTGAGGGAGCTCTGTATTTCACCACTAATGTCACGTGAACATTTGTAAACAAATACGTGAGGTATGGATAGCACTCTCTAAGATGTGCAGCGGCTGCCCATGGCTTTATGGTAGATGGGTATCTGTTGTGGTAGATAGGTGTCTGATCTAAAAATACTAGCGCGATCGACCTCTCATCTAGTGGATGACGTAAGATGAAAATAATCTCTCTCTCTCTCTCTCTCTCTCTCTCTCTCTCTCTCTCTCTCTCTCTCTCTCTCTCTCTCTCTCTCTCTCTCTCTCTCTCTCTCTCTCTCTCTCTCTCTCTCTCTCTCTCTCCAGATAACTGTGTGCATTAGCTCACTATGAATGAGTAACAGGGTGAGTGAGTGGTGGGTGCTTGAATGAAACAACCCCGAATGAAGGATCAATTAACCAAAACACTCATTAATTAGAGATCGAATCGTGGCATTTTCATTGCCTGAATTACCGGTGGCAGACTAGGAGGTAGGAAGACAGGTAGACTTTAAACAGGAAAACAGGCAGGAAGCCAGGCAGATACTTGACAGGCAGACATGTAGATAGATAACGTGCAGACAGAAAAGCATGTAGACAGGGAGACAGAGAGAGGTTGGGGTAAGGGGAAGTAATGGGGTTGTTGGGAAAGGGAGGAACAGGAAGGGAGGGGACGTGATATTGCATACTAACACACCCTTGCAACAAGATGGTTGGTGATGTATGATAAAAACTTGCCTTACTGCTCCCGATAAGGCCGGTGACGTGTGTGTGTGTGGGAGGAGGTGGAGAAGAAGGAGGAGGGAGAGAGAGAAGGTAAGAGAGGAGAAACAAAGAGGAAAGAAAAAGAGAAGGAATAGTAGCACAAAGGAGAGGATGTGGGAACGAGGGAAAGAACTAGAAACAGGAATGACTATTTAGTTTAGCATTCTTGAAGAGGCTACACTTATTTTCTTATCTGTTCTTGCCCCCCCCCCCTCCTTCCGTTCTTGTTCATCTCCTCGTCCCCCATGTTCTTCAATAACATAGAGGAAAGCACAATCATTGAAGTGGTAAAGTTCAGTATCATGAACTAATAGTACAGAGTACCTTCTGTAACTGCGTAGTCGGTCACACCCAAAATTTGTAGTAATAGAGTTCAAGTAAGCCTCATTTTGTATTTGATTTTGTAAAGTTTGGAAAAAATTATGCTGAAAAAAATCAATATTCCTAGGCCTATGGGGGGACAAATGCTTACATTATTAGGCCTCAGATTGCGTGCATTAGGCCTATGATGCTTAGGTTAGGCAAGGCTAGATTAGATAAGGCTAGGTTAGGTTAGATTAGATGAGGCTAGGTTAGGTTAGGTTAGATTAGATGAGGCTAGGTTAGGTTAGGTTAGATTAGATGAGGCTAGGTTAGGTTAGGTTAGGTTAGATTAGATTAGATAAGGCTAGGTTAGGTTAGATTAGATGAGGCTAGGTTAGGTTAGGTTAGATTAGATGAGGCTAGGTTAGGTTAGGTTAGATTAGATGAGGCTAGGTTAGGTTAGGTTAGGTTAGGCTAGGTCAGATGAGGCTAGGCTAGGCGTTAATAGCGACACAAATATAAAAACTTGTCCGATTTGTGCAAATTCAAGAAGAATTCTTTCTGGCGGCCCATCACAACATATTTGTAATTTCAACCACATCATTAGTGTAAATACCATAGTTTTATTAGCATGTGCTGTACAGAACTACTGAACAAGGATGAGTGAGTACAGTCTTAAACCAGACATTCCTTTATTAGAACCGTGAACACAAGGCTTATCAACTATTACATAGAAGCTTTGATATATATATATATATATATATATATATATATATATATATATATATATATATATATATATATATATATAAATGTTACGAAGTCATATCAATGAAAAATAAGATTAATACACATATATACACCGAGTGGTGTAGCCATATTAAACACTACTACACTAACAAATTTAGAAAAACATTAGATTAGTGTTTACCTAAATATTCTAAGTGTCCCCCTCACCCCCCCCCCACCCCATGTCTCAACCCCTCCCCCTACACCCCAGGAAGGGGGGGGGGGGTTGTAGACATGTTCGGACATAAATGATGAAATTTCTACTGCATAAAATATATTAAAGCACAAATATAACATATATTCTGGTACAAGCAATACTTAGCCTAATACCATGCATATATGTGGGGATATTAGGCCTATTGTGGGGTTATGTTAGGCCTAGGAGAGGTTAGCTTGTGCTGCTGCATTAGTTTCCTCTCTCTCTGGACCTTTGATAGTTTTCAACGACTTTTCAGTGTGACTCTTGTGTTGTTGGGGCTGTCCATAGGTCACACTCGCCTCAGACTGTCTTATTGGAGGATGGGATGGTGTAGTGGTGTGGGTGTAGCAGTTGGCGATTGTTTGTGTTGGTGATTGTGAGGGGGTGTTGTGTGTGTGGCTCTTCCTATATCCATGTCCACCTGTCCCGCGTTAGGGCGTGGACACGTGCGGAAATAGGTCCAGGTGCACGAAAAAGCCCGTACACCTCGTTTCTGGTGTAATTTACAGATTCTTCTGTGTGTAGGGGTATATGTAGAAGCCTATTGCGGGCTTTCAGTTTTTAACAGCAGTTGCTACTGTGGCCACTTGTTCAAGCCCGACATTTGGAGTGGTCATGCTGTGGTCGTCCAAGAGAGGGCTGGCCGTGGTGAGTAGGCTGGATCTGCCAAAAATTGATGAATAGATTCAGAACATGGTTTGATTAAAACCTTATATTTAACTCTTGTACTCACTACCCCCCCGGTACACTTCAGCAAATTTATAGCGGGGAGGATTGCTTCATTTCTATATCTTGACTCTAGCAAAGCATTTAATACTGTGGCTCACGGATGACATGTTAAAAAGTTATAGGCTAATGGTATTGGTTTTTTTTCCTAAGTTGAATTAGGGTGTTTTTTTTAAATCAGAGAATTGGTATAAATTGGTTTGTGTGAATGGGTGACTTATCAGTGGTGTGTCTATGGGCTGTGTCCTAGGACAGGCCTATGGGCCAAATGAGCAATAATTACAATTTTGCAAACGGTTCAAAAAATAGGCTGGGAATTCTACTCGTTTGGAAACACAAAAAAATGGATACTCGATCCATGGGATACATCCCATGTGTCCATGGGCTGTGTCCCAGGACAGGCCTATGGACCAAATGAGCAACAATTACAAATTTGCAAACGGTTCAAAAATTAGGCTGGGAATTCTATTCGTTTGGAAACACAGAAAATGGATACTCGAGGGGTGTTGATAGAGGGGTGACTGAGGCAGAAGTGAGAGTGGCGCTCACCTTAGAGAGGCGCGTACCTGCTGCTGTCTCTGATGATGATACACGCCCAGCTGATGCTCAGCATCTGTGCACGGGAGATGAAAATGTTAGTTCCTCATGATGCTTACACTTGTCCATTCATTCGCAACCCGTTCTTGTACTTATAGTCAATATCTGGCTTATGAATAAGTGCATATGTGATATATTAATTTATTGTGAATATTTGAGGTTACCTTGAAAAGCTGAATAGAAAACACCGACCTAACCTAACCTTCTTAGTATGTTAAGATATTACACAACTTCGTGTGTGTGTGGTGTGTGTGTGTGTGTGTGTGTGTGTGTGTGTGTGTGTGTGTGTGTCTCTTATTTTGTCAATTGACCATTGACAAATATTTCAATGGTCATATGTGAAATATAATGTTACTGAAACTCATACAATTATTTAAATCAATTTAGTACTTAAGCTTTTCCAGTGAACTCCCAGTTTGATCTAATTGTCATTGTGGTTTCATAATATAAGAAGTTACAGTAGCTGTAAGAAATTCAGTAGAAGCCGTGATGAGGATTCGAACCTGCTCAATGGATATTCCTGCGTATACACCCTAAACAACTTGACCACGATATGCAGCAGTGTAACCTGGGATTGAACTGAATCCCCCGAGGGGGTCTTGAGGGTTCCACTGAAGCCCTGAGGGTTCCACTGAAGCCCTGAGGGTTCCACTGAAGCCTTGAGGGTTCCACCAAGCCCTGAGGGTTCCAACAAGCTCTGAGGGTTCCACTGAAGCCCTGAGGTTTCCACCAAGCCCTGAGGGTTCCACCAAGCTCTGAGGGTTCCACCAAGCTCTGAGGGTTCCACCAAGCCCTGAGGGTTCCACCAAGCTCTGAGGGTTCCACCAAGCCCTGAGGGTTTCACTAAAGCCCTGAGGGTTCCACCAAGCTCTGAGGGTTCCACCAAGCCCTGAGGGTTCCACCAAGCCCTGAGGGTTCCACTGAAGCCCTGAGGGTTCCACCAAGCCCTGAGGGTTCCACCAAGCTCTGAGGGTTCCACCAAGCTCTGAGGGTTCCACCAAGCTCTGAGGGTTCCACCGAAGCCCCTAGGGGTTCCACCGAAGCCCCTAGGGGTTCCACCGAAGCCCTGAGGGTTCCACTAAGCCCTGAGGGTTCCACCAAGCTCTGAGGGTTCCACCGAAGCCCCTGAGGGTTCCAAGAAGCCCTAAGGGTTCCACCAAGCCCTGAGGGTTCCACCAAGCCCTAAGGGTTCCACCAAGCCCTGAGGGTTACACCAAAGCCCCTGAGGGTTCCACCAAGCCCTGAGGGTTCCACCAAGCCCTAAGGGTTCCACCAAGCCCTGAGTGTTCCATCGAGCTCTGAGGGTTTCACCAAGCTCTGAGGGTTCTACGAAACCCTGAGGGTTCCACCAAGCTCTGAGGGTTCCACCGAAGCCCCTGAGGGTTCCACCAAGCCCTAAGGCTTCCACCAAGCCCTGAGGCTTCCTCCGAAGCCCCTGAGGGTTCCACCGAAGCCCCTGAGGGTTCCACCAAGCCCTAAGGCTTCCACCAAGCCCTAAGGCTTCCACCAAGCCCTAAGGCTTCCACCAAGCCCTAAGGCTTCCACCAAGCCCTAAGGCTTCCACCAAGCCCCTGAGGGCTCCACTGAATCTCACCTGGATGCTGGAACCACATACATCTTCCAGATCTCACCTGTATGCTGGCCAAGACGAGAGTGACGACTCCCAGAGCGATGCAGAAACCAGAGAGGGCGTCTGTAAGGAAGGAGAGACATCCAGCGGTGTAGACCAGCTCCTTCACCTGCGGGTCCTGCAGGAGACCCACGCCACACCCCTCAGTCTGGTTCTTGCAGCAGCCGTCTGCAACGTTCGTGCTGTTCCCGTAGATGAAGTCCGCCCAGTCCTCGTAGCCTTGGATCCCGCAGCAGTGAGTCTATTCCAAACATATAATAAACCCTTGTTTTGCAGGCGAGGAGTCACAATAACGGGGCTGAAGTATGTTGACCAGACCATACACTAGTAAATGAAGGGACGACGACGTTTCGGTCTGTCCTGGACCATTCTCAAGTCGATTGAGAATGGTCCAGGACAGTCCGAAACGTCGTCGTCCCTTCACTTTCTAGTGTGTGCATTGGTCAACAAACGCATGTTTTTATTATATTCAAAGTGAAAAAAAAATCTAGTTTACTTTTAAACACCAATTTTGTAGTTGCCTTGTTTGGTAATAATAGATTTAAATAGATCAACTAGGAATTGTTTGTAGGGGTAGCAATTGAGGGAAGGGAACTATCAGGGGCAAAGCGCCAAGCCATTATGACTATATAGCACTGGGAAGGGATCAGGATAAGGATCTGGAATGGGACGGAGGGAAAGGAATGGTGCCCCAACTACTTTGAGACGGTCGGGGGGATTGAACGCCGACCTGCATGAGTCGGCCAACACGGGAGACATCTCCTGTCACTCAGGGTGCAGTCGCACCTCCACAGATCTCCAGTATCAGGTAATGATACTGGTAATGGCTCAAAAGGGCCACCACTTACGGGTTATTCATACCCGTGCCACCTTTTGGGTGGCTCAATCTTCAGCATCAGTCGGCCAATCACTTTATTGAGAATAAAATCTTTATTAAAGTTTGATGAGTAACTCACGTTATGCTGAAGGAAGTCCAAGTCGTAAGTGAGATCCTCGTCAGCGCCTCCGTACTCATTGAAGATGACCTTCATGCTGGAGATGATGTAGGCGGTGGAACCCGTTGTGAACACCATCAGGAGAACCCCGGCCGTCACCACCATCACCATCAACACACCCACGATGCTCGCGTACTGCCACACACGGGAAAACATACTTTAACTTGAATGGTCTTGAAGAAATCCACAAGGGCCGTGACGAGGATTCGAACCTGCGTCTGAGAGCATCCCAGATGCTGTCTTATTCGATGTAGTCTCGGGTATTAGTCTGGGATATCTTGAGGTGATTTCGGGGGCTTTTAGTGTCCCCGCGGCCCGGTCTTTGACCAGGCCTCCACCCCCAGGAAGCAGCCCGTGACAGCTGACTAACACCCAGGTACCTATTTTACTGCTAGGTAACAGGAGCATAGGGAGGTTATCTTGAGGTGATTTCGGGGGCTTTTTAGTGTCCCGCGGCCCGGTCTTTGACCAGGCCTCCACCCCCAGGAAGCAGCCCGTGACAGCTGACTAACACCCAGGTACCTATTTTACTGCTAGGTAACAGGGGCATAGGGTGAAAGAAACTCTGCCCATTGTTTCTTTCATTGGATGCTCTCGGACGTAGGTTCGAATCCTCATCACGGCTCTTGTGGATTTGTTCATTAGTACACACAATTCCACCATAGCCATCACTACATTACCCCGTCACAATCATCACAATCATTGCCACCACTACTGTCATCACAATCCGGACGATTGGATTTTCCAAAAAAAAAATCCAACCCTGACTCAAACTCCTTTAGATATATATGTCTAACCTACGCTTGAAACAATCCAGGAACCCCCACGTCTATCATGTTACCCGGTTAATTCTTCCTCAAATCAACAACCCTGTTTCCAAACCAGTATTTACCCAGGTCTTTCCGACATCTAAAATCCTGCGATTTGTATAAATTATTTCGTGTTCTATTTTGTGTTGACATACTTAACATCTTCCTGATCTCGCTTATTTCCACCTTTCACTTGCATTATCACTCCCTTTGTGCGTCGCTAGTACGCTAAATAAATATAGTTACTCATCGCTAGTACGCTAAATAAGTCCATAGTTACTCATCGCTAGTACGCTAAATAAGTCCATAGTTACTCATCGCTAGTATGCTAAATAAGTCCATAGTTACTCATCGCTAGTATGCTAAATAAGTCCATAGTTACTCATCGCTAGTATGCTAAATAAGTCCATAGTTACTCATCGCTAGTATGCTAAATAAGTCCATAGTTACTCATCGCTAGTATGCTAAATAAGTCCATAGTTACTCATCGCTAGTATGCTAAATAAGTCCATAGTTACTCATCGCTAGTATGCTAAATAAGTCCATAGTTACTCATCGCTAGTATGCTAAATAAGTCCATAGTTACTCATCGCTAGTATGCTAAATAAGTCCATAGTTACTCATCGCTAGTATGCTAAATAAGTCCATAGTTACTCATCGCTAGTATGCTAAATAAGTCCATAGTTACTCATCGCTAGTATGCTAAATAAGTCCATAGTTACTCATCGCTAGTATGCTAAATAAGTCCATAGTTACTCATCGCTAGTATGCTAAATAAGTCCATAGTTACTCATAGCTAGTACGCTAAATAAGTCCATAGTTACTCATCGCTAGTATGCTAAATAAGTCCATAGTTACTCATCGCTAGTATGCTAAATAAGTCCATAGTTACTCATCGCTAGTATGCTAAATAAGTCCATAGTTACTCATCGCTAGTATGCTAAATAAGTCCATAGTTACTCATCGCTAGTACGCTAAATAAGTCCATAGTTACTCATAGCTAGTACGCTAAATAAGTCCATAGTTACTCATAGCTAGTACGCTAAATAAGTCCATAGTTACTCATAGCTAGTACGCTAAATAAGTCCATAGTTACTCATAGCTAGTACGCTAAATAAGTCCATAGTTACTCATCGCTAGTATGCTAAATAAGTCCATAGTTACTCATCGCTAGTATGCTAAATAAGTCCATAGTTACTCATCGCTAGTATGCTAAATAAGTCCATAGTTACTCATCGCTAGTATGCTAAATAAGTCCATAGTTACTCATAGCTAGTACGCTAAATAAGTCCATAGTTACTCATCGCTAGTACGCTAAATAAGTCCATAGTTACTCATAGCTAGTACGCTAAATAAGTCCATAGTTACTCATAGCTAGTACGCTAAATAAGTCCATAGTTACTCATCGCTAGTATGCTAAATAAGTCCATAGTTACTCATAGCTAGTACGCTAAATAAGTCCATAGTTACTCATCGCTAGTACGCTAAATAACTCCATAGTTACCCACAAAATATACTCTCATCCACGTTTTCTCTAAATATGGACGCCAAATAAGAAAATGGGATTCTCACAGTTTTGAGGGCACATGTGTCCTCCTTAGCGGCGCCCCAGCAGCCTAAGACGCCCAAGAAAGTGACGAAGAGGCCGCCGATAAGCGCGCTCAAGGGCACGCTGTAGAAGACTTGAGTAAGGAGTACGCCGAAGATGGAGTCCTGCTGCAGGATAGCGGCCGATACTCCCACCACGGTGACTCCCAGGAACTGTGGGGGTGAAAATGGGATATCTTAGGTTATCTAGAGGTTATCTTGAGATGATTTCGGGGTGTAGTGTCCCCGCGGCCCGGTCCTCGACCCAGGAACTGTGGGGGTGAAAATGGGATATCTTAGGTTATCTAGAGGTTATCTTGAGATGATTTCGGGGCTTTAGTGTCCCCGCGGCCCGGTCCTCGACCCAGGAACTGTGGGGGTGAAAATGGGATATCTTAGGTTATCTAGAGGTTATCTTGAGATGATTTCGGGGCGTAGTGTCCCCGCGGCCCGGTCCTCGACCCAGGAACTGTGGGGGGTGAAAATGGGATATCTTAGGTTATCTAGAGGTTATTTTGAGATGATTTCGGGGTGTAGTGTCCCCGCGGCCCGGTCCTCGACCCAGGAACTGTGGGGGTGAAAATGGGATATCTTAGGTTATCTAGAGGTTATTTTGAGATGATTTCGGGGTGTAGTGTCCCCGCGGCCCGGTCCTCGACCCAGGAACTGTGGGGGTGAAAATGGGATATCTTAGGTTATCTTGAGATGATTTCGGGGCGTAGTGTCCCCGCGGCCCGGTCCTCGACCCAGGAACTGTGGGGGTGAAAATGGGATATCTTAGGTTATCTAGAGGTTATTTTGAGATGATTTCGGGGTGTAGTGTCCCCGCGGCCCGGTCCTCGACCAGGCCTCCACCTCCAGGAAGCAACCCGTGACAGCTGACTAACACCCAGGTACCTATTTTACTGCTATCTTGAGGGTTATCTTGAGATGATTTCGGGGCTTTAGTGTCCCCGCCGCCCGGTCCTCGACCAGGCCTCTAACCCCCAGGAAGCAGCCCATGACAGCTGACTAACACCCAGGTACCTATTTTACTGCTAGGTAACAGGGGCATAGGGTGAAAGAAACTCTGCCCATTGTTTCTCGCCGGCGCCCGGGATTGAACCTGGGACCACAGGTTCACAAGTCCAGCGTGCTGTCCGCTCGGCCGACCGGCGCCTAGGATTAGGATAACAAATCCACAAGGGCCGTGGTGTGGCTTCGAACTTACGTCCGAGAGCATCCCAGACGCTGCCTTAATCGACTAAGCTACGACATGGTCAAAAGAATTAGCTTAATTTGCTGTTACTATCTGGGTCATTTGTGAGTTGGAAGTTATCAGCTCATTCTTATCACTGATGGTAATTTCTTGTTACTCAAATATCTCTAGAAAGTAACATAGGAAACTAATATTTCATTAATTGCAAACGAGGTTTAGTACTACAGAATTGCTGGATTAAATTGCTGGATAAACTACTACAGAACTTCTGGATAAATAGTTTTAACTTAGGGGATCACCATAGCCCGTGCTACTTGGGACTTTTTGTTCCAAGTAGCGAATCGTAAACAACAACAACAACAGTTGTAACTTACAATAACACAGGAGTTGATGATGAAGAGTCCATATTTACTAACACAACCCATCGTGCTGCTCAAACAGCTGTTCTCAGCTCAAACAGCTGTTCGCTCTTGAAACAGCTGGTGGACGTTTTTAACAGCTGTTCTTGAAACAGCTGTTTGATGTTTAACAGGTGTTGCGGTAATTAAATGTCCACCTTGCCCTCGTTCCGGGGACTCTGTACCTTGTAGCCTAATATTCTTCTCTTGCACTCACGCACTCTCAAGCTCAAATAGCTGTTGGATAATTAACCAGAGTGTAGTTAACTATTGAGACACTCAAAAGGTAGTTCGGATCCCTCCTGTGGCAGCTGTGGCTCGGGCAGATGGCCTGGATAGATATTGTTAGTTGTGGAGTTAGTTGGATGGAGACTGGCTATGTATTGCCGCTGAGAACTTTACAAGTTGACGAGGCACTGATAAGGATAACAGAGTTGGGCATTGGGGTGTGTGGTGGTGAAGGGCTTGTTATCAGCATCGTCTCCTTGTATCAATTGCTTATCTGAGGTAGTTTCATCAACTTCGGGTTTCGGGCAGTTGCCATAGTGGAGGCGAGGAGTCACAATAACGTGGCTGAAGTATGTTGACCAGACCACACACTAGAAGGTGAAGGGACGACGATGTTTCGGTCCGTCCTGGACCGAATCGACTTGAGAATGGTCCAGGACGGACCGAAACGTCGTCGTCCCTTCATTATCGTTGCCATAGTCTACACCAGTCTGTCCCCTCACGACATGTCAACCAGTTGTCATATAGACACTTGTTGGAGTCTTCTCACTATTTTGTTCTTCCGTTGTTTATCGGCAGTAGACACTTTTCTGCATTATCTTCCACTTCCCCTCTTTCCCCCTTCGTGTCAGAGGTCAACTAACTGCTACTGCCATATCTGAACCAGTTTCTACCCTCCACTCCATCACAATATGTTTAACTGATCTCTAACCCTGTCCATGGAGGACAGAAAAAAATGTATATATATACTGGTTAGCATTGTAAATGTCTGGCCACGTCTGTGGTAGAAAATAATAATAATAATAAAAATAAAAACTCCTTCCTACTTCTTTTCCAAGTATTATCTATTTGGCATAACTGTGCCAGATTTACCTTGTGTAAATCGCCAGATTTACCTTGTGTAAATCTGGTTATCTTGTGTAAATTTATCACTGGTAAATCTGTAAATCAGATTTACCAGAAAATTTTACCGAGGGAAAATTTTCCCTCGTATGCGCACTAAGGGGAGCCGGTCGGCCGAGCGGACAGCACGCTGGACTTGTGATCCTGTGGTCCTCGGTTCGATCCCAGGCGCTGGCGAGAAACAATGGGCAGAGTTTCTTTCACCCTATGCCCCCTGTTACCTAGCAGTATAATAGGTACCTGGGTATTAGTCAGCTGTCATGGGCTGCTTCCTGGGGGTGGAGGCCTGGTCGAGGACCGGGCCGCGGGGACACTAAAGCCCCGAAATCATCTCAAGATAACCTCAAGATGTGGAAAATAATTTTCCATTTTAGATTACGTCAATTTTTATCCTTAGTTCGCATACGTGCGAAAAGCGACGTTCTTTGTAAGAGGACGGGTCGGGAGACCGGGCCTCTTAAGATGATGAGACTGCACTAGCTACTTGTACCAATATTATTCACTACACACAGAAATCACAATAGCTTGAAGCATCACATGAACAAATCCACAAGGGCCGTGACTAGGGCTCGAACCTACGTCACAGAGGATCCCAAACGCTGCCTTAACCTAACCTGCTCTCGGACGTAGGTTCGAATCCTCGTCACGGCCCTTGTGGACTTGTTCAATATTATTCGTAAGTAATGAGAATGTCTTCTCACAGACAATATAGGATAAAACAGGATTAACATAGGATAAAACATAGGATTAACATAGGATAAAACATAGGATAAAACATAGGATAAAACATAGGATTAACATAGGATAAAACATAGGATTAACATAGGATAAAACATAGGATAAAACATAGGATAAAACATAGGATTAACATAGGATAAAACATAGGATTAACATAGGATAAAACATAGGATTAACATAGGATAAAACATAGGATTAACATAGGATAAAACATAGGATAAAACATAGGATAAAACATAGGATTAACATAGGATAAAACATAGGATTAACATAGGATAAAACATAGGATAAAACATAGGATAAAACATAGGATTAACATAGGATAAAACATAGGATTAACATAGGATAAAACATAGGATTAACATAGGATAAAACATAGGATTAACATAGGATAAAACATAGGATTAACATAGGATAAAACATAGGATAAAACATAGGATAAATCATAGGATAAAACATAGGATAAATCATAGGATTAACATAGGATAAATCATAGGATTAACATAGGATAAATCATAGGATTAACATAGGATAAAACATAGGATTAACATAGGATAAAACATAGGATTAACATAGGATAAAACATAGGATTAACATAGGATAAAACATAGGATAAAACATAGGATAAATCATAGGATTAACATAGGATAAAACATAGGATTAACATAGGATAAAACATAGGATTAACATAGGATAAAACATAGGATTAACATAGGATAAAAAATCCTACACTTGAGTATTGGTGAAAAATTGATGTAAAGAAATTACACCAAGTCTTTCACACTCTCCTGAGTGATTTGTCAACGTCTAAGTGAGTGATTAGGGCGCGACTTAATCACTTAAGACGAGTGATTAAGATCTTAAAGACTAGTTCCACAAATACTCAAGTATGGGGTTTTATCTGATATATGACAGTGTCAGACCACGGAGGAAAATTGAAACAGGAATTTCCTTAAGTACTTTCGTATATTAATACATCTTCACTCCTTCTGAAGATGAATTAATATACGAAAGTACTTAAGGAAATTCCTGTTTCAATTTTCCTCCGTGGTCTGACATTGTCACATTTTTAATCACGTGTTTATTTTCGCGATACACACACACACACACATATATATATATATATATATATATATATATATATATATATATATATTATATATATATATATATATATATATATATATATATATATATATATATATATATATATATATATATATATATATATATATATATATATATATATATATATATATAATATATATAGGAGGGGTACCACCACCTTCGTTCTCGACTCACAATCGGGGATTCCGAGTTCGATCTACGAGCGGGACAGAGGTAGTTGGGCACGTTTCCTTTCACCTAATGCAGCTGTTCATTTAGCAGTAGCTAGGTACCCAGGAGTTAGTCAGCTGTTGTGGGTTGCATCCTGGGAAGGCATAAGCCTAAAGTATATTTTACCTGAATTTGCCACTCTCTAGTGGCCTCGACACGGACAGCAAGCCGGCGGCTTATCAAAGGTACACCCTCGCCCCCATTTTTCAGAAGGTTGCAGGCGATGAGTCACAATAACGTGGCTAAAGTATGTTGACCAGACCACACACTAGAAGGTGAAGGGACGACGACGTTTCGGTCCGTCCTGGACCATTCTCAAGTCGATTGTTGATTGTCACAATCGACTTGAGGATGATCCAGGACGGACCGAATCGTCGTCGTCCCTTCAACTTCCAGTGTGTGGTCTGGTCAACTTTCAGAAGGATATTTTTCCAACTGGATTTTGAATGAGAATTATGTCTTAACCATTTACGAGTTCCACGGGTAGGCGGTTCCAAGAATATTATATCCCTTGGGTTGAAAACGCATATCCTGCTTTCTGTTCCCACAGTCTTTTCGACCCCGATAATAGCAATTATAACATACAAATATTGTCTACTAGGCTACGAGCCAGTTGTAGGCTTTCCTTAGAGATTGCTTCAGCTTTAGGTCTATTTACCTTTCGTCGTATGAAGACAACTGCAAATGAAAATGAAAGCAAGAGTTGTTGTGTTGTGGTTATCCCAAAGAGCGGAAATTTGATGGTGTCATCAGTCTGGGAATTACTTAGACGGTTTTAAGGAGCTGGAGAAACGCCTTATCTCAAAGATAACAATTCTGAGAATGTCAAATATTAAATGGTGGAACTCCGCGAGAATACGAAGAACATTTTGAACTTTTTTTTTATGTAGCGAAAAGTAATTAGGTACTCCTGGGTACCTAGTTACATTTTTATGTAATAAAACTACTTTTGTTGGTACGTATCGTAATGCCAGTTAAATAGTATTCATAGCGAGTGTGGATGAAGTGAACACAATATAAAATGTTGCAGCCTAAAAAAAAATTAGTTCATTTTGCACTATAGGCCTAATATAGAACTAAATTAGGCCTAACATTGCACATGTTAAACTTAGGAGTGCTTGCTAGAGCTTTAGACTATTTAGATAGTCTAGATATTACCTATTGTGACGATCGACAATAGTCACAATTAGTACGTTCTTAGCTTTTAGATTGTAGTATACTGACTAGTAAACAATTCTTTTACAATGAAGCTAAACACAAACTTACATATTCCCAGGCCTAGTATAGCACACATATGTACTATATTAGGCCTCAGATATCGTGTATTAGGCTTAAGGAGGTTAGGATATGTTAATTTCTCAAAACTAACATAACATATCACAAAATAGTTTTCCGTTTTTTTGTTACACTGCATATTTTTAACATAGTTAAACTGCATATTTTTAACATAATAGTTAAAGTGCATATCTTGCAGTTTATTCATAGTAGCTTAGGGGTTATATTTTTGGAGGAGAGGTTTGGGTTTAGAGAAGAAACCTAAAACTGCTCATACTCTTCCTTAAGATGCATAATGAATATGGAAGATTGTATTTATATTGTATTTAATTGTATAATACACTGGTGAGTTTTTGTGTGTGTGAAGCGGAATAATATGAGGAAAGACCATTTAATACATTGATGAGTTTTTGTGTGTGTGTGAAGCGGAATAATATGAGGAAAGACCATTGCGCGAACCTGTTATAGCAGGCAGTGGGTTTTGCTCCAGAGAACACTATCCAATCCCACCTATTACGATATTCTCTCACATATCACGTTATTGTAATTTCGCTGTGAATATTTGAATGCCTGAAAATACCCCTCTATCCCCGCTCCTGTTCCTCCCAGAGACCAAAACATAGCCTAGTTTTGGCGAGTTTAAAATTACGATGAATGTGAAGAGTTTGGGAAATTATATCGTATTTGAAGCCACGTATATCATACAGTGTCAAGGAAGTAAAGTCTTTTTTTCTATTCAATATCTCGGAATCAGACAATAAAAAATCCCACTAATTGGTAGGTTGACTCTCATTAGGATGTTTTCTCACTTTTACCTCAAGTATTTTGAGTATATTAGGGTATAACAATAGGTATACTCAGTAGCCTAAGGCACTGACATTAACAGCCGGGGCATCGAACATTGGGATTAGCATCTGGAGCCGCGGGTACTGGGATTAACATCCATGGGCTCTGGCACTGGGATTAACCTAAGGGGCCTCAAACACTAGAATTAACATCTGGGGAGTCAGGCACTGGGATTAACATCTCAGATTGCAGGCATTGGGATTAGAATTTGGAATGGTGATGACCAGACCACACACTAGAATGTGAAGGGACGACGACGTTTCGGTCCGTCCTGGACCATTCTCAAGTCGATTGTGAATGGTCCAGGACGGACCGAAAGGTCGTCGTCCCTTCACCTTCTAGTGTGTGGTCTGGTCATCATACTTTAGCCACGTTATTGTGACTCCTCGTCTTCAATTTGGAATGGTGCTTCACAAATGCTTGAACCGTAGTGGCCTTTATCAGTGACTTAACACGTCATACAAAATTAATATTATCTATAGCAACTGTGGCTGAGATAAACAAAATCTGTTGTTACATCAAAAAATGGTCCAAGATTTGTATATTATTTCTGTGGACCGCCTGAGAAAGACGGTGACACCCAAGCCTAACTTTTCCTAGGTCTAGTATAGAACATACAATTTTATATTTCTGGAAAAGTGGGAGTGGCCAGTGACAAGCGAGTGCCTGAAAAAAGAATTGAGTTTGCTGTATGGATGCTTCACAAACAAATCCCTGTTACCTAGCAGTAAATAGGTACTCGGGAGTTAATCAGCTGTCACGGGCTGCTTCCTGGGGGTGGTGACCTGGTCGAGGACCGGGCCGCGGGGACACTAAAAAGCCCCGAAATCATCTCAAGATAACCTCAAGATATGGATTCAGCAAAGTGTTCAGTTTTCTTTTCAAAGCAAAGTTTAGTGGTCCCATAGTTCACGTCTATACAGGCTTAGACATTGACTTGTTAAATAACTTTACTTTCGACTAGGTAGTAGGCATCCATCAGTCTCAGGAGACTATGGAGTTGCACTCTGGTGTCGGCCTTACTTGATACTTACTAGGTATCAAGTAATTATTAAAAGAAGGCACCAAACCGGGATGGCTATGTAGCCCCACCAAATGTGCAGAGGAATCAGAGGGCGCTAAATATCTTTTAACTTTTAGGTCTCTTAATAGCATCATAAAAATTAATATGTGGACTCTTTGAGGAAATTATATGCCCCAGATGATTTTCAGAATATATAAACTTTGCAAAAATCTTCCTGCCTAGTAATTTTAATTTGAGATCAATATAAAGTGAATCCTGTGAGCTAAATGAACTACAGCACATTTGGGCTGATTTGATAGTAAGATTGTATTCTGCACTAAGTATGTCTTACACATATTCCTATCATAGTTTCCTTAGCATCTTTGGTTGGTGCGAGTACAACTAGATCTCACTACAAGACTGAAACTTATTTGTTGGTAGATTTCAGCTATTTAATTTTTTCGTCACAATCTACATTTATAACATGGGCATAGTTCTGTATATGTTTTTATTTCTACTAGTACTATATCGAGTAATATTTGTACCCTAATCTTAAATAGGTACTTGTACTTTTTTCTACAGTATTTTTCATGTTATAATTATCTGCACATAATGTGTTAAGGGGTACCACCTCTGGTGCAAGTGTAGGGACCCATAGCCTCGGAGAAGAAAATAAAAAGTACTCAGAGAAGACCTTGTGGATCCTCACTGAACACCTTGATATTTTCTTCTCCTACCACCCCTATTCTTTTAGTGTTAATGTACTTGTTGGAGTGGGTATCTTAATTCAATCAACTCGATCTTTGCTTAAATTTGAAGGAATACTCATTTTAACCATTTTTTTTTTTGGGGGGGGGGTGTCTTATAATAATATAGTTATTCTTGATTGCAAGAGTAGAGTAGTTTAAAGTTATTATCTTTAAATACATTTTTATTTGATTTCAAGTACTATTTATAGGAAACGAAACTGAAACAAGAAAAATTTCTTACAAAACTTTAATAAACTTATGTGACATGAAAAAAAAAGTCCTAATATTTTTCTATATTCATTTTTACACACATACACACACACACACACATTACCAAACATGATAAATCACACGAGAGCACTGAAAAATTGTAATGGAATGCACATATATACAGTAAACTAACTATAGTTTACACAATCAGTATATGATTTAGAGTACACCACAAACTTGCATGGCAAGGGAGTGAGTGATAATCAACACAAAAAGTTATATATACATGCAGGTGAACATGTAAATATGTATTCATAAGAAGAAGAAGATGGAAATTCCGTCATAGCTAGACTATCGTGTAAATTCACACTGTATGTATATGCTTAATAATACTTTTCAAATAAATAAGTTACTATTTAATAAAATGCATCAAAATAATGACCTATTACAAGGTACTAACCCATTTTCTTAGTACACACAAATCAAAACTAATTGTTGAAATTGTACAAAATAAAATAAATATTTTGTTTATATTGGTTGAATTTTTTTTTTACAAAGCAATTCCTCTTGTTGAAAACATTTCCTCAAGTCTGAAGCATCATATACAGTAAATGGAGAAGAAAATAAAAAGAATCACAAGTATTGCTCTAACCTACAGTCCTTCAGTAACTTATTTCTGATGACCTCTTCAAGATTGGACAGCTGGAACTTAAGCATAGTGCCTTGATTTTTTGGCGAGCCCACAGGCGCAAGAAATGGCCATAACCTGCAAAACACAGTAAAAATTTTAAGACAAGGCATGAAAATAAGTCATGTTCAAAATGTACATCTCTTAACAAATGTGAATGCAAGATGCAAACTGAATATACATCACCATAGTTGAAATAACGTAAATTGTTGACCAGACCACACACTACAAAGTGAAGGGATGATGACGACGTTTCGGTCCGTCCTGGACCATTCTCAAGTCGATTGTGAGAATGGTCCAGGACGTACCGAAACGTCGTCGTTCCTTCACCTTCTAGTGTGTGGTCTGGTCACCATACTTCAGCCACGTTATTGTGACTCCTCGCCTGCATAACGTAAATTAATGGCAAACGAAGCTTGTCTCATGTAATACAAAGAGAGTCCCGCAAATAATTATGAAGATGTTCAAACTAACCTCAACCACAGCAAGGATCAGGCAGACCACCCCAAGAGCGATGACAGCACCCTGGAGGTCTTCCTTAATGGCGTAGAAACAACCTTGAGTATAAATCCGTTGTTCAGCGACTACTTGAGGTGCGGTTGCCATACCATCGAAGCAGCCATCTTTTTGCTCCTTACAGCAACCAATGGTCACGTCGCCATGTTTAGTAACATTGTTCCAGTCAGTGTAGTTGCTCACACCACAGCATTCCAGCTGAAAGGAATATGACTTGTCAGTATTTTAGCTCAGCCTCCTAAAATGGTAGTACTTATTAGTACTTTTGACCAAATTGTTGCTACAATATAAACATTATCATTTCAGAAGGATAGGTTGCAATATTTCATGCAATGCAGTACAATGTTTATATAGAGGGTACTATATATATAGTGCTCTCCATCAGAAAGTCGACAAAATAAGTATCTTAGATTACAATGTATAGAGGTATCATGCTGTTGAGATTTCATTAGCCATTACAGTACATTGTTGTATAGTAATTGAGGATACATGCATTATGTGTAATGTGAATGTATGTAGTATGAATTATATACACAAAGAATATATATATATAATGCGGCAATGTGCATGCAGATGTGTGTGTGCAATTTCTTGCTATGTAACGTTTTAGCAATGTTGCTAAAATTAGATTTATAACACATGTTTACTCACATCGTGCTCGATCTGGTCAATGGACTTAGTAAGGGCTTCGTCATCGCCACCATAACGCTTAAAAACGTCGTCCATTGTGTTCTTGATCACGTTTTCAGCCTCTTGAGAATACACAAGGAGGAGGATCCCCAGGACGATTTGAGCGATGAGCAGCACAGCCACAATGAATGCATACTGTTGATAAAAATAGCAATGTCAGAAACTGTGATAACCTTTGCTTTACTCGGTTGAGCTTTTCATCCTCAATTAAGCCTAGGTATATATATTTATATACAGGGGACGCTAAGCCCCGAAATCACCTCAAGATAACCTTAAAGTTGGTTATGAAATTTTCACAAAGTCCCACCGCTGCCACCAGTATTCGTTTGCCTTGTTCTGGTTGAATGTAGACACAGTAGTCGCTTCTGTATATATTTATTGACCGAGACAACAAGGTACATATCTGCCTAGCCGAGGTCCACCTACTCTGAGTCTGTGAGGAGAACTGAGGCTGCTGGGAGCAATGGCTGATGCTCCTCTGTCTGGCATGACGTCAGAGGCCTACTTGCCTGTGATTGGTTACATTTCAACTGACATAGAATTTGAGTATAACAGACGTGACAAAATATTGAAACTGTACAATGGGATGAAAATAACATCCCTGAACTGACAAGAGATTCTGGTTGGCCACCATTGTACGGTTTCATTATTTTCTCGGAGAAATGTCATCTGCTTGTGACTTCAGTGTACTAAAGACATACAGTATTGACCAAAGGTGACTACCTACATTTTGACTGATAGATTACACTGTTAAAGGAAATAAGACCAGACTTCTAATAACACCCAAGTTACGAAACGGCAATAATATGTGAAATATAAATCAAATTAAATTGTTAAGAATCGTTAAAGCAGCAGCTAAGAGCACCAATAATGTTTAGAATTAAACCAAAATTCTACTCAGTCCATTTTTCAACCATCATTCATACTTCATTTTCAAAATTAAATTGAAAGGTTGAATATTGTGCAGCTATCCATCCATGCAGATTTAAGTCCGAAGTAAACATATCTTTTCACACATTATCTACTACAGTCTAAAATGCTTCAGTTATTTCCTAATTCAATCTGTTGATTAACACACAGTACAACATAAGCAATGTCACAGTGACAAGAGTGAAATGCTGAAGCATGCAAAGCATCCATACTCTCACTTCAAAATACGACATAAATCAACCCATTCTCGCACTTTCGTATAGTCAATATTGACTTATTAAATACGTGCATATGTGACATACTAGTTTACCTTGAAAAGCTTCATAGAAAACACCGACCTTACCTAACCTTCTTAGTAAGTTAAGATAAGCATCTTATTGCTTCGTAATTACAATTATTACTTAACCTATTATAGGTATAGGTTAAGTAATAATTGTAATTGCGAAGCAATAAGATGCTTATCTTAACATACTAAGAAGGTTGGGTAAGGTCTGTGTTTTCCATGAAGCTTTTCAAGGTAAACTAGTATGTTTAGTATGTCACATATGCACGTATTTAATAAGTCAATATTGACTGTAAGAAAGTGCGAGAATGGGTTGCATAAATACAGTATTAACACGTATGCTTTTCTTTGTCATTAACATGATATATAAATATATAGCATTAGCACATTTGAATATAAATTAGCATATTATGGCATATAAATTGGCAGATTATACTCTATCGTAATTTTGTGTAAAAGTTAAAGTTCGTATGTATAGTACTCATAAATACATTTATTTTGAGTGAATTCAGAGAAGGGATCATAAATACAATGAAGTTATTTGCCAGCATCTAGCTAATTAGTATTTTTTTCAGAAAAATAATGCTATAATGCTTTACTGGTATTATGGCTCAAGGATACTGTATTGTATGGTAAGATCTATTAATTACAAAAATGCTTTCACGAGGAATTTGGAATTTACTTTTTAACTTACCGTTTAAAACAAAACTTAAAATTTAAAGTTTTTACTTAGCAAGGTTAGCTTTTTAACGTACAGTAACCTTTAGTTCAAGTAAAATATTTATGAATAGTAATCTAGAATTATTTTGGAAAGCGTAAAGTTATTAATTCGTTGTAAAAATGTACCAAATGAAGTTTTAAAGAGTTAAAACTCATGAATAACTTATCAAATAAGACTATAATATATTTGGGGATATAAAATATAGTACTGTAGTTATATTACTAAAATCAAATTATACACAAGCATAAAAGGAAAATAAATTAATCCTATTAGATTTCCAGTTTGGTATGAAACTGATTCCTTCAACCTAACCTTAGAATACAAATACACGAAGATGAATTTAAAATATATAGATCTGGTTTTTAAAACATACAAAAGTTAAGAAATATATATACCTACAACTACTGTTTATTGTATTTTTATCAGGGAAGCTTATTCAGTCTGAAGCATCATAATACCTTTGGCCTGCATAACGTTTCCTTCGGGAACTTTTAAAGGTAAATTAACATTTAGGTAAATACCATAACATTAGAACAAGAACAAGAGGTCAAAGATTTAAACTAGCTAAACACAGATGCCGAAGAAATGTAAGAAAATTCGCTTTCACAAACAGAGTGGTAGACGGTTGGAACAAGTTAGGTGAGAAGGTGGTGGAGGCCAAGACCGTCAGTAGTTTCAAAGCGTTATATGACAAAGAGTGCTGGGAAGACGGGACACCACGAGCGTAGCTCTCATCCTGTAACTACACTTAGGTAATTACACACACACACACACACACACACACACACACATGGAACAAGTTAGGTGAGAAGGTGGTGGAGGCCAAGACCGTCAGTAGTTTCAAAGCGTTATATGACAAAGAGTACTGGGAAGACGGGACACCACGAGCGTAGCTCTCATCCTGTAACTACACTTAGGTAATTACACACACACACACACATGGAACAAGTTAGGTGAGAAGGTGGTGGAGGCCAAGACCGTCAGTAGTTTCAAAGCGTTATATGACAAAGAGTACTGGGAAGACGGGACACCACGAGCGTAGCTCTCATCCTATAACTACACTTAGATAATTATTAGGGTAAATAAGAAAAGCTGTAGGAGCAGTGTAATTTACTCTATGTATTACCTAACACTCTCTGTGTATTAGGGTAAATAATACTACCACCTTGGGTGGATATGGAACATACCGTCTTAAGCATACAGGAACTCTCCTTCATAGCACCACAGCATCCCAAGAAGCCAAGTATGACAATGGCAAGGCCGACGATGAGCACAATGATGGGCACAGTGACGATGCCTTGTGTCAACAGCAAATTGCTATAGGAGTTGTCTTTGTTAATGATGAGAGAAGCAAGGACCACCACAGTCACTCCCACTGCCTGCAAGGATAACCTGTTTTGAACACGTTTCTACATTGATTCATATAGGCTACAATAGAGTACAATGTTTAATTATAGTGATTTTGAGACTGAATTCTTATAGGCTACAATAGGGTACAGAATAATAAATGAATAATTAGTGATTATTGATTTTGAGACGGAATTCTTACAGGCTACAATAGAGTACATAATAATGTATAATTATAGTGATTTTGAGACTGAATTCTTATAGGCTACAATAGGGTACAGAATAATAAATGAATAATTAGTGATTTTTGAGTTTGAGACTGAATTCTTATAAACTACAATAGAGTACAAAATAATATAGTATAATTATAGTGATTTTGGCTTTGAGACTGAATTCTTATAGGCTACAATAGGGTACAAAATAATATAGTATAATTATAGTGATTTTGGCTTTGAGACTGAATTCTTATAGGCTACAATAGGGTACAGAATAATATTGAATACTTATAGGGATTTTGAATTCAAGAGACAGTGTGAATTCTTAAAAGAGTTTGAGCCAGACTGCAAATTTGGGCCATAATCACAAAATCAAATTTGAAATGAGATAATTTTAAGAACTGTTAATGTTACAGTAAGTCATTAGGGGTAATCTGAAAAAAAAAATGTTAGGCAATACTTTCAAGATATTCTAAGTAGCCATAATTATGTAAATATTTACTAAAGTGGACCAACATGTAACACAATATGAGTGTCCACATCTAACACGAGATTTAAGTACTACTATCTAAGGATATATTTTTTTATCATTCCTAAGATGCGAAGATAATTATCAGGTGAAAATGACATGGTGAAAGACATATGACTTAGAATTGAGGGGGAGGGAATTATCAAGGGAAAGCGGCAATTCAATTCGACTATATAGCACTGGGAAGGGGTCAGGATTAGGATTAGGGATGGGACGGGGGGAAGGAATGGTATTCAACTACTTGGACGGTCGGGGATTGAACGCCGACCCGCATGAAGCGAGACTGTCCCTCTACCGTCCATTCCAAGACGTATAACGGAAAACATCTGTGTTATTCGGAGAGACATTTCACTACTGTTACTATGCGGGTTCTTTGTGCGTATGAGCGCGCGCTTGTGCAAGTGCTTATACCGTTTTTAATATGCAGGAACGACTATTTCTATACGTTCTATACGTAAGTATATTTCTATACTTGAGGTCGATCTCAAACCCATTGTTGATGTGACGACTTATATTGAATTTTGTAACTAGCTCATCAAGATTGTAACTTAGCTAAATGAATTGTGGGGTTCAGTCCCTGAGCCCATTATGTGCCTCTGTAACCCTTTCCACTACCGCCCACAAGATGGGTATGGGGTGCATAATAAATGAACTAAACTAACTCTATACGTTACTTGTGCTGCTTGAATATGAAAGGTGTTTAGTCAAGACAAAACAAATGTTCAAGAAATGTATGAATATTTCATTCAAATTTATATTTAAGAAATGTTTAGCCATATCCCCAGTTTAGCAAATGTGGGTAAGTAACTTCTGCTCCGCATTTGATGGCTGTTGATATGCCTGATAAGCATACCAATGAATGTAACTCACCGCAGATGTAAGTTACTTAGCTTGAAGACTTCGCTTGTGTTCGCTTTTTTTTTAATCCATCGTCGAAATACATTGAACTGCGTAACTAACTAGCTGATGAAGACTTAATTTGCTTAGGTAAATGAATTTTTGGGGGTTCAGTTCCTGAGTCCATTATCTACCTCTGTATCCTTTCTTCCACTATCATCCACAGGATAGGTATGGGGTCCACTACAACCCACAGTTGGGTATGGGGGTCCACTACAACCCACAGTTGGGTATGGGGGTCCACTACAACCCACAGTTGGGTATGGGGTCCACAACAACCCACAGTTGGGTATGGGGGTCCACTACAACCCACAGTTGGGTATGGGGTCCACAACAACCCACAGTTGGGTATGGGGTCCACAACAACCCACAGTTGGGTATGGGGTCCACTAGAACTCACAGCTAAGTATGGGATCCACAACAACCCACAGCTTGGTATGGGATCCACAACAACCCACAGCTGAGTATGGGATCCACAACAACCCACAGCTGAGTATGGGATCCACAACAACCCACAACTGAGTATGGGATCCACAACAACCCACAGCTGAGTATGGGATCCACAACAACCCACAACTGAGTATGGGATCCACAACAACCCACAGCTGAGTATGGGATCCACAACAACCCACAGCTGAGTATGGGATCCACAACAACCCACAGCTGAGTATGGGATCCACAACAACCCACAGCTGAGTATGGGATCCACAACAACCCACAACTGAGTATGGGATCCACAACAACCCACAGCTGAGTATGGGATCCACAACAACCCACAACTGAGTATGGGATCCACAACAACCCACAGCTGAGTATGGGATCCACAACAACCCACAACTGAGTATGGGATCCACAACAACCCACAGCTGAGTATGGGATCCACAACAACCCACAACTGAGTATGGGATCCACAACAACCCACAGCTGAGTATGGGATCCACAACAACCCACAGCTGAGTATGGGATCCACAACAACCCACAGCTGAGTATGGGATCCACAACAACCCACAGCTGGGTATGGGGTCCACAACCCACCCATGGATATGAGAGATGCATAATAAATAAACTAAACAGGACATGAGTGTGATGTCATAACTAAGGGAAGGAACAAAGCAACTTTCAAGGTTCTTATTTTCGTCAGAGCTTGGCAGAGATCAATACGTCCAGAGATAACGCAGCTAACATTACACTCTGTTAAGTCTCTCCTCCATACTAATGGAAGCATAACACGAGGAGCAGGAAGTAGCAGAAACAAAAGCTTCTGTTATGCTCGAAGGTTTAAATTCCAGCTGTTTAACTATGGGGTCTGTCTAAAGCCTAGGCTTAGGCTTAGGAATGAGTTGGGTTAGAAGATGTGAAACATGAAACGTGATCACACACTAAGGAATTGTACAAATATCGGTTTTAAGACTGTACACTATCACAAATTGTACAAATATCGGTTTTAAGACTGTACACTATCACAAATTGTACAAATATCGGTTTTAAGACTGTACACTATCACAAATTGTACAAATATCGGTTTTAAGACTGTACACTATCACAAATTGTACAAATATCGGTTTTAAGAATGTACACTATCACAAATTGTACAAATATCGGTTTTAAGACTGTACACTATCACATAAAAATTAAAGAGCATTAACAAAGGTAGCTATTTATAAATAGGACAAACAAAGGGAATTATAAGATAGTACTAAGCTATTACGACTAGCAAAAATCACCTTCAAGATAATACAAAGATTGGATCCTACGATTAGGCTTCATAATTGTAAGTGAAAATGTTGTTGAAAACAGCGATTATCAACTATTTTAATTAACGATCTTTGCAAGTGTAAAAATAATTAAACATACACGAATGTTTAGTAATCTCTCAAGTATCGTGATAATTGACTAAAGTGACGTTTATGAGAAGGACAACAAAAAAATTGTTGGATGCAATTGTGTTGTGTGAGGAACAAATGATATAATTGTTCTATTATATGCTTTAGATGGATGACTGTAATATCGCAGCTGTTATCACCAACTCTCTCTCCTTATCACATTATGTGGTTGATTGTACATGATATCAAAAGAGAGCGACTATATGCGCAGTGTGAAGGGACCTGTGACTCACCAGCTGGGTGGTGGCACTCTATGAAAATCAGCTTTGATATTGCTGTAGAACGCAACAGCTGTGAGAGCGCTCTAGTTAAAACGCCTGATGAAAAAAACGAGATCAGGCCATAACAGCTGTGAGAGTTGGGTCTAAGCACAGCAGTTTTGAGATTGGGCTCTATGCTCAACAGCTGTAAGAGAGCGCCGCTCTCGGCTCAACAGCTGTAAGAGAACGCTCTCAAAACAGGTATAAGAGAGCGCTCAAAACAGGTGTAAGAGCGCCGCTCTCGGCTCAACAGCTGTAAGAGAACGCTCAAAACAGCTGTAAGAGAGCGCTCTCGGCTCAACAGCTGGAAGAGAGCGCCGCTCTCGGCTCAACAGCTGTAAGAGAGCGCTCAAAACAGGTGTAAGAGAGCGCTCTCGGCTCAACAACTGTAAGAGAGCTCAAAACAGCTGTAAGAGAGTGCTCTCGGCTCAACAGCTGTAAGAGAGCGCTCAAAACAGCTGTAAAAGAGCGCTCTAGACAACAGCTATAAGAGAGCGCTCTCGATACAACGGCTGTAAGATTAACATTCTAGACAACACCTGTGAGAGAGGGGGCTGTGTTGCACTCCCTTTCCCCCCTCCAACACACCCTATAACCCGTTGTGAGAGATGAAGCAAGCAACAGTAGTGAGAGAACCAAGGTGTTATTAAACAAGTTTTGGGCGTTGTACCTGACACGCCATACTGGTTGTATAATACAATAGACAATTATACACCGGAAGTGCCTCAAAAAAGCCCGCAACAATTACTTGCAACAGTGCTATGATATGCTGCGTATATGCGGAATATATTGATCAATATACGAGAACTGTATGAACTTGAGAATGCAAGTTCATACGTGAACTTGAGGAACTTGACAATGAGGTAGAAACATTCATACACAAATGTGTGTGTGAGTTCAAGACGCGTGTCTTACAAGACGCCAGTCAAACTGGGACAAATTTGCAGTTGAAAGTGAATTGCGTTTCACTTTCAAGTGTTGGCGGTTCGCGCTCTTGACCTATGACCTTCCTGAGTGACCTCTTGGGTGACCCCATTGGTCTAGACAGCTGGTCTATGGCTTATTGAACACCGGGGCTCGCTTGATGTGTGTTCATTTAGGAACCTGTGACGCTGACGTGTTCATTTACGAAACGGGATTAGCTTGACATGTTCAATGTTAATTTTAGTCTCGTTCAAGTTACGGAAATATTTTGAGAGTAAAGTAATAGGAAAAAAACTAGTCAATAGTCCACAAAAGCATCAATATTGCTGACCTTTAAATACACAAATTATATTAAGGCAGTCCAAAAAAAATATCGCAGTGCATTAAGTGTGAGGACAGGTTTTTGCAGATTATATTCAGTATTGTATTACAATGATAGATTATACAGTTGCAAGGTGGTATGGGAGGCCAATCCACCTGCATCCTCCCAGAGTAATCAATATATACACCAAATACCTGTTGCTCTGAACGGAAGAAATAAAGATTAAATTTTTTTCCGTTTCTCGACAATTTTTTTTTGAACAACGGAACATTATGACATTTGAGGCGAATATGATGTGCAAAAAAGGCATTTAAGGCGAATGTCATGTGCAAAAAAAGGCATTTGAGGTGTTATTTAAAGGGGGAATGTGTATACTTGGTGTGGTTTGGCGTTAGTGAAAGGCTTAAGGTAACGGGGGGTTATAGAGTTCCTCAGACCAGCGGGAACCGAACCAACGTCACACTCTCTCATACTTACGAACACGAGGAAGTTCAGCACGAACAAGGCTGCTTTGCTGATGCACCCCATCTTGAAGGTATGTGCGGTGAGGAGGAGTTTGTTGTAAGGATGTAAGGAGCGGTAGGATAAAGCGTCCACTCAGCAATGCAGTCCGACGCGCACTGAGGCGCTGGGGGCCGGCCCTGGGCCGAGATGTTGCCACACGCGCAAGATAACCTATCAAACCCCAATTTCTTTCCCCTAAATATGTATCCACATATATCTACAATACCATTAACAATCGTATCTTGAGGTATTGATTCTAGTGTCCTAGAACCACCTAAAGTCACACCACATCAAACTGTTCACTCCTATCGATCCGTTGCGATATCTTGAAAGGAGTTGAGGCGTCTTTGTGTTTCAAGTTTAGTAACCGGTTTCTCCTGAAGGTTGCAGAAGGGACTAGTGCAGAGCAGACACGACTATGGAAGTAAGAGGGTGGGGAGGCTTGCCTCAGAATATATATATATACTGTGAACCCACATGGTCTCGTGACGGTGAGTTACCACCTGTGGCATGCATTCTTTCGTTCACCTTAAAATATTCCATAATTCATTGCCCAGTTGCTTTGGATATCACTTGATAGGGTAAGGATAATGTGGTTATGTAGTTTGGCAATGTGCATAGCAAGATTAGTGGATGTTATTGGTGATGTGAGCGCCGAGAGGATTGAACAATAGGTGTGGTATAGGTTTGGACCTTGGACGATAGGTGGAGGATAGCGAGTAGGAGGTTGTGGATAGCAAGCGGGTGTGTGTGTGTGGGTATTGGAAGCTGACTCACTCACACACACACACACACACACACACACACACACACACACACACACACACAGTGTGTGTGTGATACGATACGATAGAGCCCAGTAGGCTCAGGAATCTGTACACCAGTTGATTGACGGTTGAGAGGCGGGACCAAAGAGCCAAAGCTCAACCCCCGCAAGCACAATTAGGTGAGTACACACACACACACACACACACTACACACCTGCTTCCTGTGTGTGTGCGCGCGCGAGAAATATACTTAGTAAACACAGGAAAAAAATGAATTGGTTAGAAAGGCGGGGTCCAAGAGCTAGTAGCTCGATTCTGCAGACACAAATACTAAACACACGCATACCATACCTTGCCCAACGGTTACGCCCCCCATATCTAATGATCATACGAGCCCCAGCATACTCTCTCAATGGTATACCTGTTCATGTATTTCTCGGAAGCGCTGTATACCAGTTCTTCCTACGTTGATTTTTGCTTATCTATCAATTTATCAATTACATCTATAGATGATTTATTGTCCTGTTTTTATGTATACCAGTCAATCCTACGTTGATTTTTGCTTATCAAGCAATTTATCAATTACATCTATAGATGATTTATTGTCCTGTTTTTATGACAATATGAATTTACTGATGCAATTACTAGTAAAGGAAAAAAATCATAGTTAATTGTCTAAACTTCAATGATATATTAGCCTTTGTTTACAACGCTTCAATGTCTTCTAAGTAATCTAGTCGTTGAAGGAATCAGTCTTTTGTTTTACTGATTACTTTATGGGATTCAGGATCTATTTGTTGTATAATGTAGATAATCTATTAAAAGGGGTCTAAAATCTGGGGTATTTTGGAAGCCATTAGAGCTTAGTGTGTCCTCATATTGGTGAGCTTGTGGGGTTGAGTTCTAGCTCTTGGGTTTGTGTTAATTTACTTAGTAAAATGATAATAATACTAATAATCTGTAGCCTATTTAAAACCAATTTGGAAGGGATATGTTAAAAGAGTTTGCATACATATTACAAATTAGTATACTTTATGTGTAATTAATTACAGTTAATTAGTGAATATTACTTTGTACAAGGTCGCTAATTACGTCCCTAGAACTTTAAGGGGGAAAAAATAATTATATGTGGAAAAAATTAATTTCATATATTGTTTGTGAAATCCTAATGTTAGTTCAGTTTGTTTGAACAAACATGCGTGAACTTGCATGTTTTTGTCAGGCTGTAGTGGATGTATTTTGGTGGATGAGCATAGGATAAAAAGCAAGATAATGACGTCACGAATAGACCCCCAAGCATCTCCGCCGACCAATAGGACAAAGGAAGCTTGACTATGACGTCACTAACCTAATCTTCCGTTGAATCATGTTTTTTCTTAAAATTTGAAAAAATAAACTTATGATCAAATTCCTCTATATTTTTATATGTATATACAGGATATATATATTTTTTTAAGCATTGGCGTATTTGTATTTAAAATCCACGAGGTTCGAAATGGGAAATAATTAGGAATAAAATAATTTGTGGATAGGAAAATAAAATCTATGACGTCAGTATCGCCAGCCAGTCAAGGGCAAGCCCGCCCTCACAGGCGCTGATGACGTCATGACCATTAGCCAATCAGAGAGCGACTTCTGGACGGACGCTGACGTCACAATACACTGACACAACATGTTTTATTAGAAATCCATGATGTCACCAGCTTTACAATTAAGAGTGACATCACATTGCTCAAGGAATTTAGATTGATGCCTATGAGTATCGTGATGGATTTCAAAATTTGAAATATTTGAATCACGATTTTGAATAAGTTGGGTAAGCCCGCGAACCGTTACTAAGGCAGAACGGCTTCTCCCGCCTAATTCTCTCTCTTTTCCCACACCTTCTCTTTATCTTGTCCTCCCTCCTTCCCTCCCATCTAAGTTTCCCATCTCCCACCCTCCTGTACACACACACACACACACACACACATACATATACAAGTGTGTGACTGTTCTATCTCTCAGGATCTGAGCACACTTGTGAACAACCTTCTATATGAACCAACCTTCAGAACTAAACGCACATGTACGTATTTGGATACGTACATGTATTCCCCCCCCCCCAGACACACACACACACCACAGAGACTCTACACAAGACCACAAACGCACATACATACAACATGAACGCTATAATCATCCACACAAGGCTATAAGACTAATTAACACCATTTAAACCCTATATATATATAGAGTCAAGCTACCAGCTTTGCAGGGTGACTGGTAATGGGAAGGGGTGACTGAGGTTGAATGATCAACACAGGCTGGTCGAGGCTGATCCCATGATGACTCAAATTCTAGGTCGAAGCGGATTCTCTAACAGTTAAATGGTATATATATAACCTTTTGGTATTGACTCAGATACCATCGTGTTCATGTATAGTACATACATGCAAAGTGAGATACAAAAAGTTGATGGATTTATAGATAGAGCTAGTACATATGCAATGCCTAAAGCCACTATTACGCAAAGCGTTTCGGGCAGTTTGTAGTTTGCGTATGTATAACCGACGCTTGAAACACTCCATCACACATCTATTACTGTGTTGCCCGATAAATTATTCTATACGAGTAGTTGTGAAGGTTAGGTTAATATGTATGTATAATGCTGTTCACAAGTGTGTATAGACATTGAGAAACTAGTATACACAGTCATACACATATGTGTATGTATATGACTATTTGTATGTACTATGTGTGTCTGCAGAATCGAGCTGTTAGCTCTTGGACCCCGCCTTTCTAACCAATCTGGTTTTTTTTCTTATATCTACTACATATATTTCTCTCTAACTCTCACACACACATATATATATATCCCTAGGAAGCAACCGTCTAACTCCCAGATACCTATGTACTGCTAGGTGAACAGCGGCATCAGAGTGAAAGAAACTTTGCCCCTTTGGTTTCCGCCGGGAATCGAACCCAGGCTATTAGGACTATGACCCCCCCCCCAAGCCCTATCCACTCAGCCGGGAGGCCCCAATATTGTGTGTGTGTGTGTGTGTGTGTGTGTGTGTGTGTGTGTGTGTGTGTGTGTGTGTGTGTGTGTGTGTGTGTGTGTGTGTGTACTCAAGAAGAACATTAATTGTCAAAATAACAAGTTTAAACTATCAAAATGAATCAAGACTGTTTTTCATTGCCAATTTACCTACAAAATACGTATATAACATTAACAGTTTGTCCATTAATTAACGCACGTTCGTTTTATCGTTTACTCGTTAAACTGTGCTTTGTGCATTTTATATCTTTCTGTATTTCCTGCTTCGTTTTCAGCTCTGGGTCACGCGAAACCACTAATTTGTCAACAATACCTAAGTTGGTTTAGCTTGCAACACAAGGACCTCGTTAATATATTAGGGTTCAGTGCTAAAATAATGATTGATTGAGGCTATGTGAGCAGGGCACTAGGTTGCACCACCACAGGCAAGATTTGATGACTTAGATAACGCTTATCACGTGTAGGAGGGGTGTAGTGGGGGGCTCTGGGGGTGTGGGTAGGAGAGGGCTTGAACTGTGTCGCTGGGAAAAAAGCAGTCACCGGTCATGTGTTACTGAGTCAGCGTTCGCCGCACCAACTGGGACTCCAGCTGTTGCTGAACCACTGGGTTTTCCACCCATAAGAACAACACAAGAACATAATACACACAAGAACACAGACATAGAAGCAACTGCAGGAGGCTAAAATCCAATCCCAGCAACCCTGTGTCTGTTATTTTACACAAACTGAAGCAATAATTGTCATTTATTCCTAAAGTTAAAAGTTCCAATAGAGTAGACGAGGCTAATTATTATTTTTTTACGGGATTTAGTCAGCAGTTTGACAATATTCTTAGGGTATACAGTATGAGGAAGTATTATTGGCCGAGATGTATTTTAAGGAATTTTTTATGTGAAAACAGTCAGAAAGGAAAATAATGCTTTTGATTCCATTATTGATTTTGTGCTATCACAGGAAATGACGTTTATGATATTGAAATCTGGAGAAAATATGGATATAACGTTACAAATAATAATATTTTTTTTTCTCATGGAGTCAATTATATTGGGTTAACATAACAACTAAAGCAGTTTAATAAACCACCTTACGTAAAGTGACATTAGGGGATAAAGGTAATTTTATATAAACAATTAGTTCCATTAAATTTACTAACAACAAAATTCATCTCAAAAGGATGAAGTAAATTATGTTATCACTAGCTTCATGCCAGAAAGGTTTCAGAAATATATAATAAACATTATGCAATAGAAATAAATTAGGCTGTTATTCACAATTTCCTCAAAGGCCGCAGAAATTACGACAAATACATCACTAGGGGATAGAGTAGGCTAGACTATTACAACCTTCTCTTACCAGTAGCTCATAATCTTGAACAGTACTTGTATTTTGCTTATTACTGCTCGCTAACGGATTTTTGGTTGTAATAAGAGGTCAAATATTGAATATATTAAAGTTCTTGCAAGTCAGGATCAAGTATAACATTTGAGGGTTAAGACTCATCCGCTGTGTTTGAAAAATTGGTTTACTGATAAGTATATAAACTATATATAATGTACTATTTTCCTTGAACATTAAAGTATATATGACATTTTTATTAAATAATATATACAATATAGAGAAGAATCCTA